CTGAACTATGACATCTCCCATCTGGGTAGTGACTGGGGAACCAAGCTTAATATTCCACCGTTCCCTCCAGCTTTTCAAGAGAGCCCTGTATTCTGGTGTCCCCTGTTCATCATATTTTGGGGCCTCAACAACCTTCTTTTCTCCTCTTGGAATGCCAAGAGTGTACTCAACGTCCTCTTCATCAACTGTGAGCTTGTCGTTCTCCAGCTTGAAATGTGTTTGGAAAACCTCAAAGTTGGCTATCAAATACTGAACTAATTGTGACTCATTTGCGCACAATTGAAGGTCCAACAGGGCTCCAAATCCAATATCACGGACAGCTTGTTTTTGTTCTGGCAGTAGTTGTTGTACAAGCCTAAACATGGTCTTTGGTCCCATCCGTGTGCTGAAGTAGGGAGTAGAACTCCCCTCTGCACAATCACCTCCAATGTCTGTGTTGCCCCTATGTCTGTCATTTATTTGCTTTGACCTCTTTTCTCTAATAACTTCTTGCTCGAGCAGGTCATCAGAGTGCTGCTGGGATGGTTGAGCAGCCTGTGAGTCAAGTACAGCCCGTGTTGTTCGTTTTCTCTTGCTTTTTGTTGTAGGGGTGACTGCAGTGTTGTGTTCAGCCGCCGTCTGTGAGGGTTGTGATGGTTCTGCAGCTTGAGAGCTCAAGACTGCCTTTGTTTGTGAGCGTGTTGTCCTTCGTTGAGCAGTGTCCATTGCTTTTATTAAAAACGTTAGAAAGCAAGTAACTCATATACAACATATAATATAGATTGATGGAAGGAAAATATATTCCTTATTTCAGTAGAGGGGGGATGGGGAGTGCCGAATAAATCCAGCCATGCTCTACCGAAAAGAATATAATGTCCTTCAATAACAGTTACACATAATTGGTAATATAGTAACATAAAATTCATAATTTCACAAAGAAAATTCATAATACCAGAACAGAAAATTCATAACCTTAGAACAGAAAGTTCATAACTGCAATATAGATCAGAATCCATAATCTCATATGAGAAAATCCATAATTCCATATTGTCCATCAATAACAGTCACATATAATTGATAGTATAGTAACATACAATTCATAATATCTCACAAAGAAAATTCATAACCTCAGGACAGAAAATTCCTAACTCCAAAACAGAAAGTTCATAACTGCAACATAGAAAATTCATAAATACAGAACATAAAATTGACAACTCACAATACAGAATTCATACTCTCCTACGAGAAAATTCATAATCTCTAACAGAAAATACATAACCACATATAAGAAAGTTCATAACAGCAAAAATGTAATTTCATAGGCACAATAGAAAATTCATAATCTCACACAGAAAATACATATTTGCATGACATAAAATACATATTTGCATGACATAAAATACATAAGTGAATGGACGTTATGGACATTCAAAGCTTGCATAGAAAGTGAATAAACAGCAGTAAAAACCATATACGAATCAATTCATAATGGTTAATCTACACGTATATAATGCTACAGATATACATTCATAAGCTCATAACATTACATTCAAAACCCCATTTCAAAATTTCGAAATATGTACACAGAATACAAATACCCTAAATCATAAACACGAAAATACCTGTAATACAAGTGAAGGAACGTTGAGAATGAGCAATGGAGAGGCTGTATCCTTTGATAGCTACGTGAGAACGTCAAATTTTGTTTTACAAATGCGAGAACGAGGAATCCGAGAGCAGAGGTGAATGGCTGTGGAGCAGAGTGTTTGAGAGTGATCGAAGGAAATGGCTGGGGAAGATGAAGCGATAGAAGAGAGCTCGAGAGTGGTGTTCCAGAGAGCAGAGCGATGGAGGTTGCATGGAGAGGAAGTGAAATGGCGTAGTGGAGAAGCGGAAACGCTATGGCGCGTTTAATTTTAAAAAAAAAAAAAAATGTGAGTGGTGGGAGTTAACGGTGCCACTTACGGGCACCGTTAGTCCCACTCACTCTAAACGGTGTCGTATGGAACCGTGTTCACCAACCATGGTGAACACGGTTCCATGGCATAACACCTCCCTGCTCCGTTGGGAGAAACCTCCCTCTGGTTTTGTAAAGATTAACACCGACGCAAAGGAAGTGATCCAATGTCTTAGAGGTGAGGAAACCGATGGCCATAAATGCTTGAATTGCAATCTGGTTGATGAATGCAGGAAGATTGAAGTGTTACCATGGAAGAAAATCTAACAAATTTTAGGTTTAACTTAGAAGTAATCCCAAAAGGCAAAAATCTAATTTAAAGGACAGGGGAAGGATATTTTTGCCGACTAATAAGGTTTCAAAAAATGGGCAAATAAATAAAATTGTGTCTTATACTAGGTGGAAAGTAACAGACAGACAAGCTAGCAGGCCGGATTGCAACATATATTTTTCATAACAGTACTATTTTTAAACAACTATAAATAAAATTAGAAGCATACATTGGTAAATATATATATATATATATATATATATATATATATATATATATATATATATATATATATATATATATATCTACTATATACTATACTAATAAGAGCCCAAGAGAGTTAGGCCTATAATAGGTAGAAAAAATGGCGGTCAAATTTTTTAATCAAATGAATGGCTCAGATTGATCAGATTTTAATTTTTCCTTAAGATTTCCTAATTTATCCTTAATGAATATGATTATCCGTTAACTTTTCCGTTAAATATTAACTTTTCCGTTAAATATTATCTTTTCCGTTAATTTATGTTAGTTCACCATTAACTTACTCATTGATTTCAATAAGAAAGGTCTTAGGTTCGAACCACATCCCAATCAAAGTTGGCATAATTAATACTCTATTTTACTCTTATTAAATTAAATAATAATTTAGTAGCTACAACAAGAAATAATACATATTCATTTCTTTAATTTAGAATTATGTGTCTACAATGTCTTTATTAAAAAAAAATTATTCATTATCAATAAATTAAATAAGAGAAATAATTTCATTAGTTATATTGTCTTTATTTTTCTCCAATATAAAAATTCTTTACATTCTAATTCATCAATTGGTTATATTCACTACATTGTCCATACAATGTCTTTAATATATATATATATATATATATATATATATATATATATATATATATATATATATATATATATATATATATATATATATATATATATATAGACTTAAGTTCAAATGAGAACAAGTATATTATAGAGGACTGTGAGGACAGATGTAGTGTGTGCCAATAGTCTGTATGTCATGTGCATGGCCGAATGAAGTTGTGTGCCACAGTTTGTATGTCACGCGCATATATTTGTTAATTAGTAGAGTCTGGGTTCGAAACCTGATGTATACATATATTCATGTGTGCCATTATATATATATATATATATATATATATATATATATATATATATATATATATATAGGGTTGAGTTCAAATGAGGACAACAATATATAGAGGACTGTGAGGACAAATAATGAGCACACAACAAATCAATATCAGGCACACAATTTAATACATAATGGCACACATGAATATATGTATACATCAGGTTTCGAACCCAGACTCTACTAATTAACAAATATATGCGCGTGACATACAAACTGTGGCACACAACTTCATTCGGCCATGCACATAACATACAGACTATTGGCACACACTACATCTGTCCTCACAGTCCTCTATAATATACTTGTCCTCATTTGAACTTAAGTCTATATATATATATATATATATATATATATATATATATATATATATATATATATATATATATATATATATATATATATATATATATAAATTAAAAGAAATAATTTTATTAGTTATATTGTCTTTATATTTCTTCAATGTAAAAATTCTATACATGAGATTCATCAATTGATTATATTCACTACATTGTCTATTATCTTTTTTTGTGCACTATTTTTTAATTAAATATCAAAGCTATAATACAAAATAATGCTATATATTTATTTACCAAGTTCTTTTATCAATACCATGAAAAAATTAAAAAAAAAATAATTAATAAAGTCAATCATATTAACTACTTGAGGGATTTGTTGACAAAGAAAAAATTCAAATCACACAACAAATTGAAGTGAGAACTACCTCGCAATGTCCTTGTTTTACCATCAGCAGTTAGCGATTAGCGTTAGCGGATTTGACCAGCGAATTATATCAACGGTTGGTAAAAAGATATTTGAAAAAAATTAACTGTTTAGATTAACATGTAAAATTACCTAAGGGTAAACATATAATAATAATAATAATAATAATAATAATAATAATAATAATAATAATAATAATAATAATAATAATAATAATAATAATAATAATAATAATAATAATAATAATAATAATAATAATAATAAAATAATAGTTTTAAAAAATAAAAAATATAATTAAACCAATCATATTAACTACTTGGGCGATTTATTGACAAAAAGATTATTCAAATCACACAACAAATTAAGGTGAGAAGCTACCTCACAATGTCCTTGCTAGGCAATCAGCAGTCAGCTCTTCAATATTAGTATATATTTAATATTTTATGCCTAATTTTTATTTACTCTCCCTTATGTCCCGTATTTGGTTTCAACCATATCTATACAATTATTTTATTGATAATTATAATCAATCTTAACTATATTATCTTGTATTTGTAAACTTAGAATTACCTATTTAAATACGCAAATTCAACATACAATTATCTATGCATGAACAATTCCAATATAATCTTGCCTTGATATACTTTGAAATACTTATTTAAAAAAAATATTGGGCATTATCCCAATCGCGCAATGCGCGTAAAAAAAACTAGTATATATATATATATATATATCAAGCCTACATTTGAACAATCACAAGCTCATTGGACTCAACAGTAGAGTATGCTCCATTGTCAGTTGGAGAGGTTGAAACTGTTGGATCTTGTGTCTCCATCCATCTCCGCCATTCATCAATGCATAATGGCTGACTTGGACCAATGCCTAAAAGTTGCCGGTGCGTAAAATCCTATTTACCTAGTTGCGTAAAATCCTATTTACCTAGTTGTTCTTCTCCCTTTAAACGTCTTTCTTGCGTGTTTGGATTTTGTTGCCGAGCAAGTGATACATCCAATTGTCTAAAGTATCATCGTTATGACCTGAAAAATGTACAACATTGTGAAAAAAAAGGAAATAGTCAAAACATCATTCCAGCTAATAACAGTCTGCCTGGAAACAGTACAGTAGTTTCAAAGTATAAAACTGTAAAGAATTAGTACAAAATAATACGTTTAGGCTGAGGCTGAGGCTGAGGCTGAGGCGGAGTCGATCCATTTCGCATAGGTTCCATGATCTTTCACTCTGTAGGATTCACATGAATAACACAACTTAGTTTTTAACTCTGAGGAAAGCTGTGCAATGCAGAATTGCAAAGAGCAGAAGCTAAACAGCATTCATCAGGTAAAGTAACTCAAATATGCATACATTTACAAATACAGACTTCAAATCTTGAAGATCTAATTTAAGGAGCTGTTCACACAAGATATCCCAAAGCAATAGCACAACAACTTCCATGGAACTGTTTGACATGAATTTGAAATATTATCAGATAATTTCCTGCAATTTTAGTATAAATACAGATCAATCATCGATGCAATTAAAAGCATTCTGATTCACTTAATTCCATAGAGCCATATGCAATGGAAAAATAATGCATTATGCATCCAATTCTGATGCACAGAATATGTGATCACTCTTCTAGTAATGTCATGTCTAGTGGTCCAAGAAAAAGCCTCAGACAGATAAAGATGGACACCCATATCACGAATTCTTTCTCCACTCAGCATAATTATTTCCCAGCGTCTCTTTTCATTTATATAAAATCCTAACGAAAGAAACAAAAATGTTCTAATCTCATTCTCTCTGGAAAGGGATGACAGGGAAAATTCTATGAGCAGTCAAGTTTCAAGAGAAAATCTATCACTCATATCAGCCTATCCATTCAAAAAATGCCTACTGATATAGGAGTAATTTCAAAATATTTAAGTTTGCAAATTTCATTAAACTCATGAGCACTGTGAACAAAGGGAGCAAGAAAATTTATTTGCTTTTTTTTTTGGTTATCCAAATTACCTCATTCAGGGGGTGGCAATATGGATTCCCATGGTAAATTAATATAGAAATAATGATTTTTTTTTTCTAAAGTGCCATCAAATAAATTGATTTATTATTTAAAATCTCATTTTACTATTATACAAAAGGAAATAAAATTATATTATGAGCATAAACTTACCTAGCAAGATGAGATCTGGAAAGATATTCATTATACTTGAATGGGATGTTTAACACATTTTAAACAGAAATACTGAATATCCATTGGTCAAATGTTCATTCAGTTTAAACTAAATATTCAATATCATAATTCTCATCGACACTTTAACTGTTTGTTCAATTCCATTCAATCCAATAATATATCTTGTACTTCATAATTACTCCATATTAATTACATGTTTGTTATACATTTGAAATCTTAGTAAGTATACCACTAACCACATGGGCATGCAACATTCTTACTGATTTTGTTTCAAAATTATGTCACAGTTGGAGTGTTGGACAAACAAGTCAATCAGCACTACCATTAATAAAATTACTAATAATCTATCAGAAACTCCCTACAAGTTTCTCTCTTCAATAGCAAATTATAAGTATAAATCAACATATTCCCTCCATCCCATTAATATTCTCCTATTTGCCATTTTATTGGTCAATGTGTAAATTTTACTTCAAGTTTTGATACTCTTAAACATGACTAAAAAGCCAATTGAAACATGACTACTTAGTACCCAAGCCTATGCCTTAAATCTTTTGATTTTATGACTAGACTAGATTAAATTGGCTGCATATTCACTAATTAAATAATCCAAATCTATTATTACAGAAATGGACCTTTCCCCCCTCTTTTTTGCCTGAATGTCCACCACATGGTCCATACTCGATTTCATGTAATCTTAAAATCAAACTTTGCAGGTTCTATGGTAACAACTATAATAATATGTTCTAACAATCATAAGAAAGATAAATAAATAAAAACATGTGAGCGAGCACACACATAATCTAGAAACCTTGCGAAAAATAGCAAATTAGCATTTCCTATCAAAGAGAAAATGACATAACAATAGCAAATAGCATGTTGTCTTGTGCATTTTCTTTGCATCTGTTGACTTTTACTGAATCCAAACTTCTTCAAGATCTTAAAAGTTCACAGTTAGTGGGCAGCATCTGCACTATTTATTCACCATATAACAAATAACATGCATAAGACCACCTCAAGCAAGAAAGCTAATTCAAAATGGTACTCTTAAATTTCACTAAGAAGCCTATTTTCTTGTTGTCCTTAAAAAGAAAATTCATGAATGGACATCCCCCAAAAACTTCAACATATTTATAAAGGAAATAACTTGAGGAAGTTTATCGGTGCCCCATAAAAATGCAACAAAAGTGTGAATACCATCATACTAAAAATAAAGAAGAAAGATAGTTTGATTTGCTGAAGTGTATTTTTGTTACTTACAAGAATATATCATCAGCATCAATGTCTTGAAACAGATTGATAAAGAACCTAAATCCATCAGGGCTTACATCTCTGCATAACAATCCTGAAAAGAAGTATAAAGTTGCACTGTTAATTGCCTGTGTATATAAACTGATTTTTGGACTTTGATTGTGTTTCCATAAAAAAAATAACTAATCTTGCCGATTAAAAGCATTTGTTCTCTTATTGTTTTTCTTTTGATACAGCAAAGGAAGGACGGTAAATAAAATGTATTCTTAGCAAATTCCTTGTAAAGCTTACAGAATAAAAATGCATGAGCAATATTATTTGGAAGTCTTGGAACATTAGAAATATATATTTAAAAAAAAAAAAAAATACATGCTCATTGGTAAAAATTAACTACAATATCTTAAAGGCATTGTAGCCTGATAACAATCCATCAATGACTAATAACACATTATGCACAGCATTGACTTTGCAAATGAATTGGCAAAGAAATACCTTTCCCCTCAGCAGCAAGAAGATGCTCCTTGGCCATAGCTGGAGCAACCCCAAGAGTCATTGCAGCATCACTAGCACTGATCCCAGCTCGTAAAGCATAAGCTTTAGTCACCAAGGATTTAATCCTAGCAAATACCTGGATGTAGTAGTACAAATTGATTGATAAAGAAAGCAAGTAAATCATAGGTTTCAAGCAATTGAAAAAATTCAATTACTTTCCAAACCATGCGAACATCATTAATCAATCATGCTAGAATGCCAAAGCCTTCTAGGAAAAGATCAAGCTTGTTACACTTAAAACACATCTCATCATTCAAGAATGCAACACATATTTTTGCCCTAGCTTACTCAACCATGGGCTTGTACCTACATTCCCACTGAAAAGGGAAAATAGTAGTGAAAGAACAAAAAACTGAACAGTTGAGCAACATTGTGCATTTTGTGTCCTCGGCAGTTTCCCATCGCAGTGAAAATGTTAACAATGAACTTCTTTCAGCCTAGTTTTAGATTATTTAGTTCTTCTGTGGATATTTTGCTCTGCCGAAGACCTAATGAACAACAGCAGAGCTTTGAGTTGGGCAGAATTGGAGGAAACATTCAAACATCATCCAGGCAATTGCAAAATTGTCCCCAGTATGGGGTAGATTTCACAAAAGATTTTTACTTCTTTAATTCAATGATGCGCTATTTCATAATTTCCATATTTTTCCAAAATTTGAGAACATAGAAATTAATTTTGTTTTTTTTTTTTTTTTGGAATCAAACATAACTAGGGTTCCAGGAAGTAAAACAGTAGTGAAAATTCAATGTCTTGGCATGCTGTCCTAGCAAACATTCATCCATCTAGCATCAAGTTGTCTTGACTATGTGTCCAGTTGCATGTCTTGCATCATAAATGTTATAACATGAAATACGCCTAGCACTCATGGATTGAAGACCCTACTTGTCTATTCATATTAAGAAACTGAAGTTAAATGATGGTTAAAGTGATTTGTATAGAAAAGAAGATACTATGATGACAAATTATATCTGAAATAAAGGGAGCCTTATTCGCACAGTACTTTCACCAGATAGGGTAGCATCAACATAACATCATTTGTGGTATAATAGAAATTACCTCATTGTCACTGTGGCTCTTGTTTTGGATGACCACAACACCACTATCAAACTTGCGAAGCATCACAGGACTGTCACAAAGAAGAAATATATACTTTTACTTTTCTCTTATGTTAATTTTGTTAAATGAAAGATTCACATATGCAGAAAATAAAATATACAAGAGAAGAGAAAGTGAGAAACACATGTAGTTTTGAAGAAAATGTAAGACCTACACATCAAACTTCTCCCATAGAGAACATGCACGCATCAAGTCATCAGGGGATATTAATTCTGCAAAGTTTTAAAAAAATAATAATAATTGAAAAAGAGGGAACAATTATACAAAATGCATCAAGTCATCAGGGGACAGGGGATATCAATTCTGTAAAAAGATAGAACAATTATAAAAATAATTTTAAAATTGAGAAAGGGTTCAACATTTCAACATGAAACTTGAAAAACTTTTTTAAAAAATAAAAATAAAAAAGTGAAAACAATATACTTCTATAAAGAAGGTTCATGATAATGGTGGATATATGTTTTGCGCATGTGCACACAGAGATTACCTGTTCCACGAGCGCGATTGAATAGGCAATAAGCATCAATGAGATTAATCATTCCTCCTGCCCTGTCAAGGGGAGTCCTGATAAAATCTGCCAACTAAAACCGAGCAAACATTTGATAACAGAAAGATAAAGCAATGGAAATTAAATTATTAAAATATTCCACATTGTGCAACATCAATCCTTAAATCTATATCCTGATCACCACACACAAAAAAGGAGAAGAGAAAAGGAAAAATAACACATTTGCTCTTGATGAAGCCAATAGTAAAGCATCCAGGATTTGGTCTGTGTTTAAAAAAATTTTACTTTCCTAAAAATATGACACTACCCATTAACTAATTTTTCAAATGTAGCAAATTCAAGTTACCAATACAAGTTATTCACAACTTGATTTCTTCTACAACCATCAAACTCCATTTCAAGATTATACAATATCTCTATCTTAATCACCTGCAATTACAATTGCACCAAATAATAGCATAGACAACGGCAAGAGGAGATACCTGTCGAGATAATTGTTGATGATACAAGGCACCTGCAGACTCTTTGGTAACTGGAGATGCTATACCAACACTTAGTAACCAATCTTGCATCTCCTCCTTTGTACCCAAATCCTCATCATTTGTGCCTGTGTGAGAGCTCGAACTGGAAAGAAGTTTCAATCTCATCTTCTCAGCTAGCATCACCATCTCTTTAGCCTTACTCTGTGAAACAATTCATAATTGTTATTTAGCCTTACCTGAGTACTTAGATAATCACAGTTCTCTTACAAATAAATGTACCTTTAATATTATTATTGCCGAACCTTTTAGATAACCAGTAAATAAGTAGATCTAAAGTCAACCAAGTACCATTAACAAAATAATCCAGAAAAGTCAAATTATAGCCTGCTAATATTCGGAACTACACAACTGTAGTTATTTTTTACTCAGATTCCTCAAGCATCGACTCAGAGAAACTCTGATTAAACTACCTGCCTAGGATTCAATGATAGTAAAGAAATATTTTCACCTACTAAAAAATATTTTTTTTTAGAAAAAGTGCAAAAACACCTCAATTATATTGGCAAAGATAACTTAATGCAGGGACAATAACTCCTCAGTAGTGAGAAGCCCAAAGATTGTACAACTGAAGGAAAGGTGAGATGATCATCTAGGATGTGAAGCAGAGTGTGGGTGAGCCAATAAATAGTCGTAGAAAATGGAAATGGGTGGAAAAGGTTTAATATTATGACCAGCATAAAAGGTATATTTGGCTACCATACCCTTGAACAAGAAATGGAGAAGATAATGATCCCGAAGGGTGAGTCAATAAATAGCCGTAGAAAATGGAAATGGGTGACAAGGTTTATATTATGACAAGCATAAAAGGTATATTTGGTTACCATATCCTTGAATAAGACAGAGAATCAAGGGCATTGGCCGGACTTTAGAACAAACAAAGGTGGGCATCAGCACATTTGAACATCTAAATAACCTCAATGGCATTGTGCTTACTTATAAGTAAATAGACTTTTAAAACAAAAGCATAATTCTTTTTACATTTGAAAATAACTGAAGAGTAAATGGATTTTACTTAACTTTCTCCCCCTCTCTCCAAATCTAATGACAACTAGTAAATGCATTTTTCATTTACCTTGTAGAATTAGACACATACACAAATTATTCGCATTGTACATATATATAAGCTCATATATGAATGCATACACATACATAAGCACAAAACAAAACTTGCTTACCATGAGGGCATTCAAATCCTGAAAAGCATCTTGCAAGCTCTTATCAGTGTTTTCCCACATTTCCTGCTCTTTCCTCAGTATCCCAGCTACGCCAACTACCGGCATCCTCACAGCTAGGCTGCCCCCGCCCGAACTGGACACTGAGCCAGAACTACTTGGACCATCCGATCCGGATTTTGATTTTGCAGCTTCCTCCCAAGCCCTCCCTCTCCAGGCCTCACAAAACTTCTCCAAAAACGAATCCACATCCGACTTGCCCCGAATGATCAGAGTTATCACCACCGATTTCGAACCACTCTCCTCGATTCGACCTTGCGGGCCGGCTGAAGCCTGGAAACGAATTCTAGGACTAGCAAACATAGCCTTGATGGATTTTTTCGCAGAGAATATGTGTGTGACGGAAGCAAGGGGGATGAAGACGGCGGCACCAGTGGAGGCGGGAATGGTGGAATCAGGAAGCCAGAGTAGGCGGTGGGTGGTGAGAATGAGAAGGCCAGACCTGAGGTGGGGGAAGCTGGGATTTTCTTCCGATAGGAGGTCTACCATGGAGAGGAGTGAGCACTCAACTTCACCGGGGTGTAGCACTGGTCGGCCACTTCCGGTGATTTGTGCCGGCGGCAGCCAATTTCCGGCCATAACGTTGCTGCGGTGAAGATGATCGGAGCAGCGGAAGTCAACAACTGGAATTTTTCAGGACTAAAACATGACGACAGATGAGGGGATAGTGATTAGTGATACAGTGTATAGTGTATTTCCCCAAATTTTCCCCTTAATTATTCGAAGTTGTTAATTTCACTTAATTCTTTTTTTTTTTTTTTTGGGAAAAGGGTCAAATAGACCCTGAACATTACTCAAAGAGTCAATTAGGCCCTTGAACTTTCAAAATGTGCAATTAAGCCCTTAAACATATTATTTTAGAGCAATTGGGCCCTAAAACCGGTTGGTTACCTACAATTACCGGTCAAAATGATTCCGGCGAACCTCCGACAATATTCCGGCCAAAAAAACCGGCGAATAGTTCGCCGGCGTCATTTGCTGCCATCTCCGGCGAACTCCTTCGCCGGAGAAGGCAACCCAACCCTTCTCCGGCAGCTAGAGAAGGAGCCGTGAAAGAGAAGGCAGGGTTGCCTTCTCCTTCGCCGGATCTGGTTCGCCTTCTCCTTCGCGAACCAGATCCGGCGAAGGAGACCTTCTCCTTCGCCGGATCTGGTTCGCGAAGGAGAAGGCGAACAGATCCGGCGAAGGACTGGGTTGCCTTCTCCTTCACGGGAGAAGGCAACCCCTTCTCCAGCGACTGGAGAAGGCGACCCATCTGCTCGCCTTCTCCAGTTGCCGGAGAAGGCAACGAGTTGGTTGCCTTCTCCAGTTGCCGGAGAAGGCAGACGCCTTTTCCTTCGCCGGAGATGGCAGCAAATAACGCGACGTTCGCTGGTTTTTTGGCCGGAATGTTGTCGGAGGTTCGCCGGAAGTTCGCCGGAATCGTTTTGACCTGTAATTGTAGGTAACCAACCGGTTTTAGGGTCCAATTGCTCTAAAATAATATGTTTAAGCGCTTAATTGCACATTTTGAAAGTTCAAGGGCCTAATTGACTCCTTGAGTAATGTTCAAGGGTCTATTTGACCCTTTTCCTTTTTTTTTTTTTTTTATTACTAGAGAATTCTAAGCTCAAATACTCCACCAGTCCACCCCTAGAGTAATTATGGAGTCGTGCACTCGTGCAATCAACATATGGATAGATTTTAGTGTTTATGTGTACAAAGAATTTAATTTACACTTTAATTGGACCTTTTTCACATTAGTATTTTCAGTGGAATCCGAACCGTCACATTGTCGCATTCAATTGTGACATCAAGTTAAGCGACGAATCATTATGCTAAATCCCGGGACAATTTTATATAATTCTTAACAAAATCGTTACTCCATAAATATTAGTCACCTGGTATGGATATCTATTAATTTTTATCTTATTAAAAAATTTTAAATGTGAAATCAATTACTCCCTTCCTGCATTTTGTTTCTCTAGTTTGGTTAACGAAATTTGACTAAAGTTATTTTTAATTCAAATTTAATAATAGTAAATTTAGTATTAGTATACAAAATTTATATATTTAGAAAATAAATTAAAAGTATTATTAGACATTAAAATTTTATATTTAAAAATTAATAAAGAAAATAAACAATGAAGAAAGAGTTACTTTGACCAGTGAATAATAAGTAGAACACATAAAATGAGACAGGGAGAATATGTAATTTCATCTCCCTCTTTATTGTTGTCATTCAATTTCTTTTCTTCATCAACATTATCTATCTATCTATTTTTTTCTTTCTTTTCCGTAGATAACTTTACCGTTTTTAATTTTTTGTTGGTAATTAAAAACTTATAAACTTTTAACTTTTAAAAGTTCTATTAAATTAAGATTTACATGCTCGTACTCTTGCTTCAGCAGCTTTTGCTCAGACTAACTCGCTGTATTACGACTTTATCCCTCATGACTCTATTGTTGCTTTCATTCATTAATATATGACAACTTTATTTTCAAAAAAGATTTATGTAACTTTTTTTTTCTCAAATATAATAAGTAGTTAAAATCTAAATCTTCTAGCCCCTAACTCCTCGACTTTCTTTACAAACTTTTTTTCTTTACCTAAATCAAACAAACTTTTCATTTTTAAAGCAATCGGACAAATATATTAAGATAGCAAATCATTCAAAAAGGTCGGAAGAACATCAAACCGCACAAAGTGGGTCAACTATGTGCCATCAGCTTTGGCAAGCGAATATGTCACATGATTTCTATCTTTACGAATGTAACAAATCTTGTAATCACCAATAGAACTAATAAGAAGTTTACATGCATGGACAATCGAACCAACATAGAACCGGTCTAAGGAATTAATTACAAGCTTGAAACATAAATTTAAGCAATCTGATTCAACACAAAAATTGGTGAAACCTCGACTCTTAATCCATGAGAGAGCTTTCCAAATGGGTTGTTATATCGTGGACCGCGGTGCACGTGCACTGCGGTCAAAACGGCGCGCCGTTAGTATTGACGGAGCGCGCATTTTTTTGTATGTTAATTATCAACTGACACTACAGTATATCTAAATTGGCACTGCCTCACGTATTATTTTTATATTATCAAATGAAACTACAGTTATATCAAAATGATACTGTAGTTGTGGTGAAATGAAACTGAATAACATTTCACATATTTGAGTGTATATTGTACTATGAAGCTGTAATTATATCAAAATAATCATGTAGTTGTGTTTTAATAAAACTATAATGTATATAAAATAAAATTAAATAACATTTTCACATATTTGAGTCTATAAATATCGAATGAAATTGTAGTTATATCGAAATGAAACTGTAATTGTGTTGAACTGAAACTGTAGTGTATACAAAATAAAACTGAATAACAGAGTTACTTTTTGCGGAGGGGTGCGAAACGGCGAGAAATGAATACCGTTTCTTTTCATTAAACAAAACGACGTCGTTTTAATGCGTGATACATAATCGATTATGCACCGCGGTGCACAATATAATTTGCCTTCCCAAACTGCGGCCTCCGCAATATTTGGGTTTTGTATACTTTGACCAAGGGGGTCGGACAAACATTCCATATATTCTCACTAAATTTTATGATGCATTTCATAACTTTTATAAATATTCATATATTTTTTATTTTTTGTTTTCATGTTCATATATACTTGTATTTTTATTTTTTATTTTTTGCTACAAACAACAACCTATTTGTAGCAACAAAATTTTCAACTTCGAACATATTGTTTGTAGCAAAATAAATAAAGAAATAAAAAAATAACAACAACAACAACAACAATAATAATAATAATAATAATAATAATAATAATAATAATAATAATAATAATAATAACAATAATAATAATAATAAAAGTTTAAAATCAAATTAAGTTAAAATATCTAATATTTGTGGTTAGATTAAGTTAAATTGTTTTTCAAATTTTTTTCATATCTTGAATTATTTTTATACAATTATATATAGAAAAACGCTCATATGTGGTCATGTCATTAGGTGTGGTCGTGTGGTCGTATTTGTGTCGTTGAATCAGTTTAATCTAAAGGCTGTGGTAATTATGAGGATTTTCGCGCGTTTTAGTAAGTGGGGGTGTTATGGTAATTACAGTGACCATTTATAACGGGCGGGTTCCAGAATACACCAACAGTGTTGACAACATACACCAATAGTGTAATAAAACACACCACAGTGAAATACACCAATGGTGTATTCCCGTGTTATGGTAATTACAGTGGCCATTTATAGCGGTCGAGTTCCAGAATACACCAACAGTGTTGACAACATGCACCAATAGTGTAATAAAACACACAACAATGTGATTTTCCTTATTCCGGTGTTTTATGACAAGTTTACCCTTACAGTTCGCTGGGTAGGAGAATGTGCGCGAAAATACTGAAAAAATCTTGATTAATATGATTCATTAGATCTATCTAATCTAATGGTCTATAATTGACCATATGACCACACCTAACAACATGGCCACATGTGATCACTCCTCATTATATATAAATACATTTCCTTATGTGAGAACGTGCAAACAAGTGTGATTGTACACAATCTACTCCTAAACATGCTTAAATGACAATGGAGACCTTAGAGTAGGGATGTAAACAAATTGAATACAAATCCGAATTCGAATATATATTTCGATTCGAATTCGAATACAAATCATAATATATTTGAATCGATCAATATTCATACACACACACACATAAAAAATAATAAAAAATTAATATAATAATAATAAAAGCTAAAGACCTAATCAGTAATCAGTCCACCCAAACTCTAAATAAATAAAAATAATAATAATAATAATAATAATAATAATAATAATAATAATAATAAGGAATAAGGGTCAAATAGGCCATCGAACTGCACACAATAATGCGATTAGGTCACTGAACCTAAAAAAACAACAATTGGGTCCCTAAACTAACCATTTTCATGCAATTAAGCCAATTTACAGGTTTTAGAAGTTAGTAACAGGTCACCCAAATTTTAAAATATATTTTTTTAATTATTATTAAAAATAATAATTTAAAATTAATTTAAAAAAAAAAAGTTTAACTGTCTCCGCCAGAGACGAAGAGACTCTCCGTCTCCGGCCATGGAGACGAAGAAGGTTCTTCGTCTCTGGCCGGAGACGAAGAAACTTTCTTCTTCTCCGGCAGAGCGAAGAAACGTTTTTTTTTTTTAATTTTAATTTATTATTTTTAAATAATACTTTTTTAAAAAAGTATTTTAAATATTTTGGGTGACCTGTTACTAACCTACAAAACCTATAAATTAGACTTTTTTTTGAATGCTACTAGCTCTATTACATTGTAGTATCTGTTCATATACTTTCTCAACCTATAAATTAGACTAATTGAATGAAATTTGTTAGTTTAATGGCCTAATTGTTGTTTTTTAAGGTTAAGTGACCTAATTGCATTATTGTGTGCAGTTCAATGGCCTATTTGACCCTTATTCCTAATAATAATAATAATAAAAGGTAAAGACCTAATCAGTAATCAATTAAGTCCACCCAAACTCTAAACGCCTTATTGCCTGCTCACCCTTCTCGTCAGTCGTCTTCTTCCCCTCACGCAAAACTCTAAAGTCATAGCTAAAGCTTCTTCTTCCCCTCACGCAGTCGTCACTCGCCATTCCATAGAAGCTTCGTCTTGCCACTCCACTCCAGATCTACAACGACGACAGTGACAATGGACTTCACGTACATATAACTACGGTAGCAGCACAACAAGTCGACGACGGTGATGGCTTCTTCTGGCTAGCAGCACGACGACCGCGACGGCTTCTTCGATTTGTTTTCTTTCTAAGCTTCCGGCGGTGGAGGACGTCAAGGTAATACTCAACAACTTCGATAGCAACAGGACGCGAGTCTAGCTACTTCTTCGACAAAGAAAATTAGTATACTAATAGAATATATTAGTATAATAGTATATCAATATAAAATTTTATGCTATTTAAATTTAAATTTTTATTACATTTTATCTTAATTTATTGGAGAACTTGAAAAAAAAAAAAATTAAGTTAGGCATTTCAAGTCAAATCGAATATATTCGAATAATGTAACTTAATCGAATATGAATAAAATTTTAGGTTCAAATATTTATCGAATACGAATAGTTCTCAAAATAATTAAATAGTAAGATATTTGACTCAATTCAATTCGTTTACACCTTTACCCTAGAGTAGATTGAATAGATTTATTAAAATTTATACACACGCACGGGTTGAGCTCACTGGTTCAGTATGCAGTATTTGGGAGAAGAAACCAAAGTTTGGAGTTTGGACCTCAATAACGACAGTGTGGGAATTATGCCCAAAGTGGGCGGATCCCTTGTGCGCACCGACATTTGGCCTTGTCTGCTGAACCATCAAGTCATCGTGATTTACATAATCTCAAATGCTCTGTAGCTTACATAATACACCGCGTGTTAAGTGGCTTGTAGCTCAATGACACCTCTTTGGCTCTCTCAAATAGAAAGTCATAGGTTCAAACTCCCGTTGCGGTATTGACTCTTTGTTCTTCAATAGGTTGAAAAATTGACTCTTTGTTCTTCAAATAGGTTAAGAAAAGGTTGAGAAAGCAGGTATGAAAGATACACTACATTATACGAGTATAAATGAGTAACTTTATCATTTTACTATAAAAAACTAATTTTATCATTTTTCAATGATATCTGGTTGGCACTTGGGATGCCTTACATTTAAAAATAAAATTTAAAAAAAAAAAAAGTTCTTGATTTGCCTTCATCAAAAAGAAATACTCAACTCCCTACATCCCCAAGCAACTCCATATATAAGCACAATGAAGAGGCAAGGAAATTGGAATAATCTCCTCAATAAGAAAACATTTTCAATTTAAAAAAAAAAAAAAAAAAAAAAAAATCTAAAGAAAACTTGTCTTTCTCAAAGTCTTTCATAGTTGCATTCATGCACACGTAATTGCATGTATATAAATGGAAACCACACAGCCACACTAAACAAAACATCATCACAATTTTCAAAACACATACAGCTATACATACATACATTATATCAGAGAAGAAACCATCTTTTACCTCAAAGTTGTCACATATATATGTCGTCAATGAATCCAAAGAGCGGCAGAGGCGGGCCGAGCCACCCCGTCTATGAAGATTTCAGGCCGACTTTTGAGCGGCAACATGAAGAAGAAGCTGAGAAGCTTCTTGTTTATCTTCCCGGTCTTTCTCTCATCAGATCTCTTACATTTTTCTCGTTTTTAAGGAAAACATTCATTAGTATAAACATGCGACAGACTCGCAGACATATTTATTCAAGCTAAGGTTTACATTATGATATGTAAAATTGTAAATTAAGGCTTCTGTTTTTACCTTTTCAGGTTTCCCAAAGGAGAACATAAGGGTTAGCACCGAGGGCAAGAACACGGTGAGGATTCGCGGGGAGCACTTAGTTGGCAGTAACGTATGGAACCGCTTCCAAGAAGATTTCGCGGCTCCAGAAGGCTGCGACATGAAAAAAATCAGGGCGAGGTTCGAAAATGGACTCCTCACCATAACCATGCCAACCAAGAAACTTGCTCCACACGAATACGAATTGAAAGAAACCCCTCCTCCCATAACTTCACAAAACACAGGCGAGGGACACGAGAAAGCAGACCTACAGAAACCGCCATCAGTTCAACAAGATTCCCCCCCTCCAAACTTCACCTCATCACCAATGCAGTCGGAATCACAAGAAAAAGACGATAACTACTACTACTACGAAGATAAGGCAAAGCAGAAAGAGAAAGACGAAGGAGAAATCACATGCAGCAGCAGCGCATGGAATTACATGGAAGCCATTAAAAGCCTTACCGAGCCATACGAAAAGAGGCAGCTGCTCATGAGTGCTGGCGCAGCTGTGCTCCTTACTGTAGCAGCACTCGGGGCCGCTTATATCTCCCTGCAGTACAGAGAGACCAATTAGGCCAATTACCAACATCTAACATCAAGTGTTTTTAAGAATAAGAATTATTTGCGAAAAAGTATTACAAATCATGTACAATCATTATCAAGACACTACTAGAGAAGCAACTTTTCAATGAGGAACTCCTGTATTGACGAGTCAAATTTAATAAAAGCAACAAATTATTCCAACTCAGGTATAAAGTAGTATGAGAAGGCCAGAACCCAAATTTGTTAAACCTAGAGGATGATCGAGAATTCATGAAACCTGAAACATACAGAGCTTTTCTTTTTTACTTTCGCCTCATCACCTCTCCACGTCCATGATCAATCTTCTAGCCCTACTTCAGAACACTAAAAGAAAACCACCAATTTTCAACTCTTGATAACACTTTTCTACACTGTCATAAGACTGTCATGATGCTTGAACACTATAGCTTCCAAAAAATACATTGATTATTGATTACTTAACGGGACTGTCATTTTGACAAGTGATCCAATTGCAAAGCAGGTGTATTCAAGCAACAAAACACAGAATCATTACATGTAAATTCCACACGCCTTACGTCTTACGGAAAATCATGCAAAATTCAAGGCTAACAAAAGGAGAAAGAAATGTGGGAAATCATGTAAAATGTTAAGGAAATTGTATAGAGATGACTACTAAGCTAAGACTCACTTCCATGACTTAACTACTTAAGGCTTCTATACATAATAGTGTTTATAAGTGCATTTAGTTTGTCAAACAGGTGAACACAAAGTGGGCTGAACACGCTCGGATATCATGTTACAATCTCTAAGATTGGGCTAAGGTCGACATGGGCCAAACCACACTAAAAGATTGAATCCAATCAATTAGCTAGTCTAACTCATGGTCTTATAAACCCATATGTTCTCTCTTATATTTTCAATGTGAGACTCTAAACAACAACCAACCAATCACAGTACACCAAGTCAAGTAGGATTTTTACTACTAAGAATAACTTCATTATTCTTCCAAAGATATCTGGATGGACATGCTTTATATTTGAAGATTAAAAAAAATGAAAATTTTCTGCCAAGAATATAGCTTTGCCTTCTTCAAAAAGAAATACTCAGCTCCAACATAAGCCCAACAAAGCACAAGGAAGAAGCAAGGAAATTGGAATAGTCTCCTCAATAAGAAAACATTTTTTTTTAAATCTAAAGAAAACTTTTCCCTCTCAAAGTCTTGCATCATGCATGTGTATATAAATGGAACCCTTCACATGACATCCAAACTAACATCATCAAAAATTTCAAAACTCAGCTATACATACATATTATATCAGAGAGAAAAACATCTTGTATCTCAAAGTTGTCATATGTCAATGAAGCCAAAGAGTGGCAGTGCTGGGCCGAGTCCTCCGCCACAAGTGGCAGCCCGCCCTGTCTATGAAGATTTCAGGCCAGCTTTTGAGCGGAAATGTGAAGAGGATGTTGAGAAGCTTCTTGTTTATCTTCCTGGTCTGCTACTCAACTTTCTCTTCTACATTTCCGTTCCTTGGGGGAGAAAACATTCATTACTATAAACATCCGCTGTTTTTTTGACATATTTATTGTACATTTATCTTGTGATTTGTAAACACTTCTCGTGTTTTTTCTTTTCAGATTTCCAAAAGGAGAACATTAAGGTTAGCATCGAAGGCAAGAACACATTGAGGATTCGCGGGGAGAACCTAGTTGTTGGTAACATATGTAATCGCTTCCAAGAGGATTTCCCGGCTCCAGAAGACTGTGACATGACAAAAATCAGGGCATGGTTCCAAAGTGGAATCCTCACCATAACAATGCCAACCAAGAAACTTGTTCCACGTGAAGTGAAAGAAACCCAAAAGACCCCTACTACCCCTCCCGAAGAGACTCGACGCCCTCCTGAGGAGAGTCAAGCCCCTCCCATAACTTCACAAAACACGAGTGAGGGACACGAGAAACCAGACCTACACAAGCCGCCAGTTGAACAAGATTCCCCTCCAAAGTTCAACTCACCAATGCATTCCGAATCAGAAGAAAAAGATAACTACGAAGACAAGGCTAAGCACAAAGAGAAGGATGAAGGACAAACAACAAGCAGTGCAGGGAATTACATGAAAGCAGTTAAAAGCCTTACCGAGCCGTATGAAAAGAGGCAATTGCTCATGAGTGCTGGTGCAGCTGTGCTTGCTATTGTAGCACTCGGGACGGCTTATATCTCCCTGCAGTACAGAGACTCCCTAAGCTGATCACATCTATCCTGAATTTAGCTACTCAAATACATACAGTGGGTTTACTAATTATTTAAGGAAAAAAGTGTCATTTGAGATATGCAAAGGGCTGCTAGCCATCCAGCTTCCAAATAAATAATGCAAACTATGCCAAGTAAATCAGATTGATGAGCAATTAAAACATGAAATCTCTCATAAGCCTCTTGTAAAGACATAACCAGCTGCTTTCTGGTTTCCACTGCACATGTCATTGCATTGCGTTTGTACACTATTTTCTCCATTGATGTAAAGCCCTTGTATCAAGTCATGCCAGATGTGATCCAATGACCTGTAGAACATTCACTCAGTTCACAATAAAAAATGACAAAGGAAGCCTGTTAATAATAAAACTCTCTATATATTTCTCTTACTTCTTCCCAAACTACACACACTGCCATATATATACATGCTAAACACAATGTAGAAGACCCTTCACATCCCTACTTCACTATCCATGGCCCTTCACATCCCTTTGGCTTTTCATATGTCTTGGCCCTTCATATCCCTACTTCATTCACTTCTAACACTCCCCCTCAAGCTGGAGCATAGATATCAATCATGCCCAGCTTGTTACAAATATATCACATGAGCCATAGGACTTCACATCTAGAGTCATAACCTTCGAGATCAACACCCATGTCTCGAACCACTTGATCAATCTTCAAACCACGCTATGCCAAATCAGTCCACAGCTCAACCTGTTGCAACAACAAAGCTTCCACGAAGCCAAACACCAGAGCGCACCTGCCACTCACACCCCACACCGTTATCAACACTGCCTAACACCACAGTGATCCTACCTCTCGCACCACAAACCATTATTAGCGCTGCCCAACACCAGTGTTTTCCTGTTTTTTGGTGCACACAAATTGGTTCATCCCGAACCAATTCTTCTTCAACCATCGGCCTCCCATAACTGCCGTGGCATATGCCAGGTCCGCATCCCTCCTGGCATCCGTGCTGCCCATCACTGCAGCACCCCGGACTGATTCACATTGAACAAGCTGCACTGACTCAACTCATACCAAAATATGAGACTAATCCTATGACCCATAGCCCAAACAACATATAAACTAAACTTAATAAGGCCACAAATTATAAAAAACAACACAAAATAACATAAACCCTACTACCCAATTATTCTTTCTCCTCTTCTCCAAAAGCCAAACCACCGCCTCCTCCTTTGTATGCAGTGGTGGTAGCAGAAGCAGTAGCCTGCACAAGTAGCAGTTTGACAGCAGAAACAACAGCAGCACAACTGTCACAGACCTGGAGAACACCAAAACCTCTCACTCTTCACCTAGGTCGACTCTCCTCTTCACGGCGAAACTCCCGGTGGAGTCGCCATCGAAAAAGGTCGCAGGAAAAGGCCTCACGCGCCAGCGCGTGGTCAGCGGCGGCGCATGGCGGCTACGTTGGTCGCTCCGCTTCCTCCGGCGACGTCGCCTCCTTGCGCCAATCAATGCCCACTGGGCTCTAATACCACGTTAATAAATAAAACACTCTATATATTTCTCTTACTTCTTCCCAAACTACACACTACGATATATATACATGCTAAACACAATGTAAAAGACCCTTCACATCCCTACTTTACTATCCATGGCCCTTCACATCCCTTTGGCTTTTCATATGCCTTGGCCCTTCATATCCCTACTTTATTCACTTCTAACAAAGACAATCTTACCTCTGTTTTTAAGAATATCACCAACTATTAAACGAATTATTTGTAAAATAATAACGAGAACCTCTATACATCACAAGATTACATAATGAAGATTCACCCAAAGGTCAAATATTTCTAATGCCCCCATCCATAACTTGCACTTCTTTCATGATGAACTCCCTCTACACTAGGCCATTCATGGCTTTCTTTGCTATATTCAATGTTTCTTTTGTAGATCCATCGTATCTCAAAAATGGAAAAAGTGCACATTAATGCAACAAAAGCATGATCACTCAAACACCTTATAAAACAACTAAATAAAGAGGAAAACTTGTTATAGGGTACCACTTAATAATATCCACTCAATTGATAAAGCCCAAAGCTAGCAGTCAATCCTGTTAGGTAAAGAAAACAATGAATAAACCTGTACCGAAGTATAAATCATGTACAATCATTATAAACGACACTACTTGTACCAAAAAAAGAGACTACAATGAGAAACAACTTTAAAATAGAAACAGCAGCTCATTCAGCAATACAAGGAATAGCCTTCCAAGTGTTCACACTTCGACTTCAGAATGCCATACCTCCACAACTGCATACTGATGCCATATTCCTAGAAATAATTGTTAAACGAGGAAGTCCTGTATTGACAAGTCAAAGTATTTCAACTCAGGTAGTCAGGTATAAAGTATGAGAAGACCAGAACCCAAATTTGCTAAACATAGACCTCTATGTCTACAGAGGATGAACAAGAACTCATGAAAGCTGAAACATACAGAGTTCTTTCATCTTCAGTAGTTCAGTACTGAAAGAAAACCGACAAGAAACCCCAAATTTTCAATAACTGATAACAGTCTTCTCCACTCTCATAAGACTGTTATGATGCCCTCCAAAATGCGTTCTTGAACATTACAGTTTCCAATAAATACAATGATTATTGATTACTTGACAAGACTATGGACAATCATTTTGACAAGTGATCCAATTGCAAATCAAGTGTATCAAGCAACTAAACATAGAATCATTACATGTAAATTTTGTGTGTCATATGTCTTATGGAAAATGCAATATTCAAGGCTAACAAAAGGAGAAAGAAATGTGGGATATCATTTAAAATTGTAGGGAAATTGTATAGAGATGACTACGAAGACTAACTCCCACAAGTTAAGGCTTCTGTTTTTGCTTGCATGAAATATATTCAAGTTTTGAGAGATTTGCTAAATTCATTTCTTAGTAAATGCATTTATAAGTGCATTCAGTTTGTCAAGTTTTAGTTATAAGTCCTATCTTCAACACTCAATAGTTGCTTCTTTGATTGCCATGCCTTATTATAAGAATTTAATTATTGTTTGTTCTTTCATGCAATGTTATGATATCTGATCTGGCTGGCATGCTTTATATTTGAAAATTAAAAATAAAAAATAAAATTGCTGGCAAGAATATTGCTTTGCCTTCTTCTGAAAGAAATACTCAGCTCCAAAATCCCCAAGCAATAACATAAGCCCCACAAAGCAGAATGAAGAAGCAAGGAAATTAGAATAGTCTCCTCAATAAGAAAACATTTTTAAGAAAATCTAAAGACAACTTCTCTCAATGTCTTACATAATGCACATGTAATTGCATGTATATAAATGGAACCCTTTTGATGACATCCACAGGAAACATTATCAAAATATATAATACTAAAAAAAAAAAATCAGCTATACATACACTATATCAGAGTAGAAAACATCGTGTATCACAAAGTTGTCATATATGTCAATGAAGCCAAAGAGTGGCAGAGCCGCCCACCCCAAATGGTGGTCCACCCTGTCTATGAAGATTTCAGGCCAGCTTTTGAGCAGCAATGCAAAGAGGAAGCTGAGAAGTTTCTTGTTTATCTTCCTGGTCTGCAACTCAGCTTCCTCTTTTACATTTTTTACTTTCCTTGGAGGAGAAAACATTCATTACTACAAACATAACACCGTGCTTATGACATTTATTACATTATGATTCATAAACATGTCTTGTGTTTTTTTTAAAGGATTCCCAAAGGAGAACATTAGGGTTAGCACCAAGGGCAAGAACATGGTAAGGATTCACAGGGAGCACCTAGTTGCTGGTAACAAATGGAATCGATTCCAAGAGGATTTCCTGGCTCCAGAAAACTGTGACATAACAAGAATCAGTGCAAGGTTTGAAAATGGAATCCTCACCATAACAATGCCTACCAAGAAACTTGTTCCACATGAAGTGAAAGAAACCCAAAAGACCCCTACCCCTCTCAAAAAAGTCAACATGTCGCCCCTCCCGCAACTTCACAACATGACATAACATCAGAAAACATGATTGAGGGCCACCAGAAACCAGCCCAACAGAAGCCATTAGTTCAACATGATTCCCCTCCAAAGTTCACCTCACCAATGCATTCCGAATCAAAAGAAAGAGATGATAACTATGATGATAATGCCAAGCAGGGAGAGCAAGGTGGCGGACAAATTACAAGAAGTGCAAGGATCTACATGCAAGCAGTTAAAAGGCTTACCGGGCCGTATGCAAAGAGGCAGCTCCTCATGAGTGCTGGAGCGGCTGTGCTTGTTAGTGTAGCACTTGGGGCTTATATCTCCCTGCAGTACAGAGACTACCTAAGCTGATTACCAACATATAACATGAATTCAGCTACTCAAATACACGTAGTAAGTCTTCTAATTATATAAGGAAAAAGGGTTGTCATGAGAGATATGCAAAAGGCTGCTAGCTGCCCAACTCCCAAATAAATAATACAAACTATGCTACAGTAAATCAATTTGCTGTGAAATTACAACACATTAAATTTGATGTCTAAGCCTCCTGTAAAGACATCACTAGCTACATTCCAGTTTCCACTGCACATCATTCCATTGTGCTTGTACACAGAATATTTTCTCTGATGATATAAAGCCCTTGTCTTGAGTCGTGCCTAGATGATCCACTGACCTGTAGAACATTCACTCAGTTCTCAATAAATAATGAGAAGGAAGAGTTAAATAGAACATTAATTATCCTTGTAGACAGAACATAAAAAGTATTTGAAATGATGTTAATTATCCTTGCTCATCATTGTGTTTTATGGGACAAGATTACCCTTGACCAAATACTACATTTCCTCTTTACTTTTTGTTTCTTACACAACTAAACCACTTCAATCAGGTGCAACAAAAATGAACAATGTTAGTGAATAAGGTCACAGACCAATTACATCATGAAGGGCATAGAAAAGCAAGACAACCTTATCTCTGTTTTGAAGAATACTGCTGACTATTAGAAGAATTATTTGTAGAAAGATTATGAGAACCTCTGAATTTCACAAGATTACACAATGAAGATTCTCCCAAAGGTCAAATATTTCAAATGGCCTCCATCCATAACTCTTTTTTCATGATGAATTCCCTCTACACTAGGACATTCATGGATTTCTTTTGTCTGATTCAATGTTTCTTTTGTAGATCCATCATATCTCAAAAATGGAATAGCGCACATTAATGCAGCAAAAGTATGACCTCTCTTACCCCTTATAAAACAACTAAATAAAGAGGAAAACTTGTTATAGGGTACCATTTAATAATATCCACTCGATTGGTGAACTCAAATGCTAGCAGTCAATCCTGTTAGGTACAGGAATGAATAAACCTGTACCAAAGTACAAATCATGTACAGTAATTATAAATGACACTACTTGTACCCCAAAAAGAAAAGTTATAAAAGATACTAAAATGAGAAGCAACTCTAAAAACCAGAAAAAGAAGCTCACACTTTGACTTCAGTATGCCATACTTCCACAACTGCATACTGAAATACTGATGTCATATTCCTAGAAATAATTGTTAAACAGAGGAACTCCTGTATTTACAAGTCAAATTTAATAAATGCACAAATTATTCCAACTCAGGTACAAAGTATGAGAAGGCCAGAACCCAAATTTGCTAAACCTAGACCCTTACAGAGGATGAACAAGAACTCATGAAAGCTGATACAGAGCTTCTTCTTTTTTTTTGGCCTCATCTCCTCTCCATACCCATGACCAATCTTCTAGCCCCTTCATCTTCAGAATTGAAAGAAAAACACCCAAAAAAAACCCAAATTTCTGACTCCTGATAACATTCTTCTCCACTTTCATAAGACTGTCATGATGCCCAACAAAACCCATCCTTGAACATTATAGCTTCCCAACAAATACATTGATTATTAATTAATTAACAGGAGTATCATTTTGACAAGTGCAATTGCAGGTCAAGCGTATCAAGCAACTAAACATAGAATCTTTACATGTAAATTTTAGGTGTCTTGTAGAAAATGTGAGAAATCATGTAAAATTGTAAGGAAAATGTACAGAGATTACTTCTAAGATTGACTTCCATTATTTAAGGCTTCTGTTTTCCCTTGCGTGGAATATACTCAAGTTTGGAGAAATTTGCTATACCAATCTCATAATAATAGTGTATATAAGTGCATTCACTTTGTTAAGTTTCCATTATTATGTCCTATTGTGAACACTTAATAATTGCTTCTTTGGTAGCCACACCTTATTATGAGAATTTAATTATTGTTCTTTCATGACATGTTCACTTCACATTAAAAAAAAAAAAAAAAAATAGACAAGGAAAATATTATTCAGGAAGAAGATTTTCTAGTGTTTAGTTAGTAAGATAAAAATAAAAATAATAATAAAAATAATAATAAAAATAATAATAATGTAAAGGTTTTATGCATAATAGGTTTCAGGAAAACTGTTTACACACTATTTTGTCAAGTGAGCATAAATTAAAAACATTTTATCTAAAAGATTTTAGGCTTATTTTACACAAAGTGAACGTTGTCGGTGTTTCCAACATTTGCTGCATTTAAAAGGCAAGAAACTGTCATCTTTTTAAGTTCATCAATGACTTCTGAATTATATTGCCAATAATATTAACTGAAAAAGAAGAGATACGATCAAAAGTCTACTCAATGTTCATCTTCAAAACTTGCTGGCAGCCAAATAATTTGAGACTGCAATGTTCTAGAATATCATTAAAAAATAAAAATGACAGACAGTAGTCATTGGCAAAAAGGCACTACTACAGGATAAAAACTTCTGTGCATCTCAAAACAGAGTAAAATTGTCCTAGGTGGGGATTAAGTAATGATAAAACAGAAATAAATGTATGGTTTCTACCACAAACTTTTCAAAACTCATTTCGTCTTCAACTATGCATTACTTCTAGTTTCGACGTTTACCAGATGTTTTCTTCTGAGGTGGTTTTTTAACCTTTTCAGCCTGCAGCTCCAATACCTTCTCAGAAGGCTTCCTTTTCCTTCTCAACCGTTTTGCACTTGTATCTTCAGCAGCAGAATTATCTATTGCTGCATAAAAACAAAACATCAGTGAAGCCAGCATGAGCATCTAATAACAGATACCATCTGTAAAAAGCTTAGAATATGTATGATGCTCAAAACAGAATTGCTAGCCAACTTATGAACAACAGATATCATCCATAGAGAAAATAACTTCAGAACAGGCATGATATTCAGAAAGGAGGGTCCATGAAAGAAAAAATAATAGTCAAATAAGGCATCATTGTTTTAATGGAATAACACATTAAATCCATTTTTGGCCCCTCAAGTATAATAACACTTCTGCTTTAACCAGTCCACTCAACTTAAAATGCAGAGTAGTGATCCCTCAAGTTTTCAAAATGGACAGAATTTTCTTCTTTTTTTAGGTAAAAAAATGGACACTGTTAGTCCTTCTATTAAGGGTGCACCCTAAAGGAAGGACTGTTAAATTCCAACTTCCAATAGTTGAGGTACTACAACTGTATTGGAAATTTGGATAGAAACTCCACCCTCGCCCACCCAAAATAAAAAATAGACATGGTACTTAAATTAGGTTATGTTATAAGGTCCTGACAGAAGGATTGCTGCCATCCATTTTAAAAATCTTGAAGTATCACTCTTGTGCACTTTTAAGTGGAAGTGCCAGTATGCTCAAGGGACCAAAAACGAAATGATTTGATAACAGACAATACAAACTTGTGGAATGACAAAAAATCATAAAGTCCATTTTTAACCTAAGCCATAGTACTAATATAATTCTCATCATGCTTAAATTAGGTCACTTCCCCATTGATTTTTCTGAATTGGAACTTTATAAGCACAAAACTAAGAGCTTGCTGAATTGGAACCTTAAAAAAATTTTAAATGGCAAATTCAAAAGCTAACATAGGGATAGATCTTTAAACATTGATTTCGAAAACTAAAAGATCTTCGAAAATTTATTAGGAAACCTGGGCTCTACATTTGATTAGTGAAATATGCAATTCATAACAGTTTAAATTACTAAGATCAATATTGGAAGTATATATCACCTTCAACAGGACTGGATTCATGATTAGTGGTTTGCCCATTCTGTTCAGCCTCTTCTGAATGAGGGGATCCCGACTGGTTGCTGTCCCCAAGTTTTGAAGTACTACCAACACACTTGTCTTGCTGCTCAAGATGATCCGGAATTGGATCAACAGGCAAGAAGAGAATTTCTTCCTGCGACATTTCAGAATCACTGAACGTTGTATCTTTCTCCACTGTGACAATATCAACTTCTTCATCTTCATTGACATCAGGTTCTTTTGCCTGGAGCAACAATAAGTTAGAAACAGGAGAAAAAATAGGAAAAAGAATTTTATTCCATAAGTTTCCTCTATTACCTTTTCAGTTTCAGGCACCAGATCAAATTCATCTTCCCTTTCTACATACTCTTCATTCTCCTCGAGTTCTTTAAAATCTGGAGCAAATGCACTCCAATTCTCAGTATAATCCTTTGCCCATATATAGGCCAAGCCAGTCAGAGAAACAGAAACAACAATAGGGTGGACAGGATGCCATGCTAAATCTATTAATGCTTCTTTTGGCCCTTCAAGTATTTTAACAAGATGTCCAGCCATGTCCCATATGTAGATCTTGTGCTCTCCTTTGCTAGCAGAACCACCAACAACCCACTCGCCATCACCACTAAAACATGGTGCCTTCCAGTGCACTTTGGTGATGGAATCCTGAAACTCCCGAAATAAAGTTAAAGACTTCGACCCTACAGCTTTCAATTTCTCTACCCCTTCTAGCTCATTTAATTCATTAGTTGCATCATATAGGATTTTCAGTCCATCTTTCAATGGAAGTAGGTTCTCATAAATCCTGATTGTGCGATCGCTAGAGTTTGTCAAAAGATACTGTCCATTCCTGCTGAATACAATATTCTTTACCACAGCACTCCCTTGAATGGGAACAATACCAAGCACTTGGACAGTTTCATGGTCAATTATAAGTATTTCCCCTTTGGAATTTCCAACATAAACCAGATCTCCATACTTGTTAAAGCATGCTGCCGTAGGAGTAAAAGGTGCAGATCCATCTGAAAATTTATTGCGTGAAGGCTGTGCCAATCCATTACCTCCATCAGGAGGTGAAACAGGAAGCACAGTAGTGCTTCCAGTGTTCAAGTCAACAATCATTGGAGCAGATGACAAAGGGCACACCAAGCAAGTAGTTGGAGTGGAGGAACCAGGATGTAGACGAGCTTGCAATGGGGTCTGTTGAAGGGTCATGTGTGTTATTTTCTCTCCATTGACAACATCCCAAAGTGTTAAAGATTTATCTGCGGCAGATACAAGTATGCGGTGACCATACTTTGACCAACATACACTAGTGATGGCAGCAACACAGTCCTTATCTCTCAATTCTTTAGAGATTCCTCTGGTCTCAAAATCCCAGATAATGCAGCTTCCATCAGAGCATCCAGCTGAAAAAGCACAAGAACTTATAGCACAAACCAAGAGCAGAACACTTGCAAGGATATTATATTTCACTATGACTTTTGCTTTTGTAAATCAATAATATTAGGACTTAGAAGTATCTCAGTAGAACAAGCAATTAAGCTAACAGCAGATAACAGAACAGTACTAAAATGGAAGCATCTTAGTGTATCTAGTAATATTTTCTCCTCTTTCCACAAAATATAGCCCAAGGAGAAAGAAAGAAACAAATTCAATTATTTTCTGCATGACATTGTGACAAGAAATTGTTGAATAAGCAAAGCTGACAGGCTGCCTAGTTGACCAATTTTATCATTCATTTCTTTGTTAGGAAAAAAAGGTATAATTACTGAATTTTAAAACAAAAGAAGACGCCCTAACACTAAGAATAGTGTGAAAACAAACAAACAAAAAAACCACAATGAAGAAACCATACAGAAAAGAGATGGAACAGTGAGCATGCACATAATTCAGTTAAATTTTTCCATTTTAATTCAATATTTCCCTTTAAAATCCAAAATCTCTGCCTGCATGGCTCTACTCCCCCACAATAGAGATTAAAAAACAAGAAATCATCAAGTTCTATCTCCTTCTTATCCAATACAAGATACTCCGTATATGATACAAATTACTTAACTACATTGAAGAAGTACATTTTGCTCCAAACACTAAAATGATCCACATATCAAAGGACACAATCCAAAAGAAATAGAAAACCTATGTTTATGAACTATACCAGCAAGAAGAGTTCCCCGACGATTAAAGGCAATGCATTTCATAACCCCATGCTCCAAATACTCTTCTATCACCTCCGGAAAATCCCCCTGCAATGGATCTTCAAAACCAAGAAAAAACATCAATGCAAAATAATTGAAGGAAACAGCATAAAAACCACTCAAAGCCCACAAAATACCCAAATTACAAAAAACGAAAGCAAAGAATACAACTTTAGCATAAATGTATCTGCAAAAAGAAATCTCTTTTCTTTTACCTATGATTGGGGCATTCATGGTGCAACATTAAAGCTATGAAAAAACTTCACGAATCAAATGCTCCTTGCATCCGCATGGAGTTCAAACTTGTAATTTAGGAGAAGCCAAATGTTCAACTGAATAATTGAAAATTTCTCGGTATATGCATATACACGAAGAAGACACAGAACTTATCAGAGGAAAGAAACCCCCCAAAAAATTGAAATTTCTTTTCACCGGCGACCGTAGAATGAGAAGATTTCACCGGCGACGAGCTGTGGGGTTTGAATGGGAAAAAAGTGCAAAAAATTCTCAGGGGATTTTGGGTCTACAATAAGAGAGCGGGACTACGGTGATGCATATATAATGACTCGCTGTCCGAGACCAAGTGGGATTTATCACTAAAGCCCTTGAGGTTTGAGAATATTCTTTTTTAACCCCTTTAAATCATTAATAGAATAATAGGTTAGAGATTTTAATTTTTCTTAACAATCTTTGAGGCTTTAACCTAAATATTGTTTTCTTAAGGCTTATTTATGAAACAAATTAAATTTTTGTGCCTTAATAGGGTGTGTTTAAAACTATATATATATATATATATATATATATATATATATATAGAGGGTGTGTTTGTTCATGAATTTACACAGTAATAATAGGAATCAAAATCATAGTTAATATTTGAGAATATTCTTTTTTAATCCCTTTAAATCATTAATAGAATAATAGGTTATAGATTTTTATTTTTCTTAACAATCTTTGAGGCTTTAACCTAAATATTGTTTTCTTAAGGCTTATTTATGAAACAAATTAAATTTATGTGCCTTAATAGGGTGTGTTTAAAACACACACACACACACACACACACACACACATATATATA